AAACCACAATGAGATATCAACTCACACCAGTTAGGATGGCCAACATAGAAAAGACTAGGAACAACAAATGCTGGTGAGGATGTGGAGAAAGGGGAACTCTCCTACACTGCCTGTGGAAATGTAAAATATTTCAACCATTGTGGAAAGCAGTATGGAGGTTCCTCAAAAAACTAAAAATAGAAATACCACTTTACCCAGGAATTCCACTCCTAGGAATTTACCCAAAAAAAGCAAGATCTCAGATTCAAAAAGACATGCACCCCTATGTTTATTGCAGCACTATTTACAATAGGCAAGATGTGGAAGCAACCTAAGTGTTTATCAGTAGATGAATGGATAAAGAAGATGTGGTACATATACACAATGGAATACTATTCAGCCATAAGAAAGAAACAAATCCTGCCATTTGCAACAACATGAATGGAGCTAGAGGGTATTATGCTCAGTGAAATAAGCCAGGCAGAGAAAGACAAATACCAAATGATTTCCCTCATCTGTGGAGGATAACAAAAAGCAAAAGTGAAGGAACAAAATAGCAGACTCACAGACTCTGAGAAGGGACTAGTGGTTACCAAAGGAGAAGGGTGGGAGAGGGCAGGTGGAGAGGGAGGGAGAAGGGGATTGTGGGGTATCATGATTGGTGCACATGGTGTGTGTGGGGTCACGGGGAAGACAGTATAGCTCAGAGAAGACAAATAGGGACTCTGTGGCATCTTACTACATTGACGGACAGTGATTGCAATGGGGTATTGGGGGGGAACTCAGTAATAAGGGTGAATGTAATAACCACATTGTTTTTCTTGTGAAACCTTCACAAGAGTGTATATCAATGATACCTTAATAAAAAAGAAGTCAGTTATATTCCTGTTTATCTGGAAATAAAAGATATAAGTATCATAGTTTCACAGTCAAAAGATGTCATTAAATTAAGACTTCTTTCTCAGCAGGTAACAGAAGAAGCCAGAAAAAACAAGCAATTCCATTTGAATTAAGGGTTCCTACACTTGACCAGTGAGTTTGCACTTTAAGACATTTTGTAAGTGTCCTGATAAACATCTATATTATGCACTGAATTGTGTCCCGTGAAAATTCATATGTTGAGGCCCTAACCCCCCAACTGTGAGTAATCTGGAGATGAGGATTTGGGTAAGTAGGTTTAAATTCAATTATTAGGGTGAGCTGCCATGATGGGCTTAGTGTCCTTTGAAGAAGAAAGAACAGAGTTTGCTCTCCCTGCTCCATGAGAGAAGGTGGCCATTTGAAAGTCTGAAATAAAGTCCTCACCAAGGAACTGAATCAGCTGGCACCTCAATCTTACACTTTTCAGAACCGTGAGAAATAAATTCCCGTTGTTTAAGCCACCCATTCTATAGTATTTTCTTTTGGCAGCCTGAGATAATACAATGCATATCTCTTAAATAAATAAAAATAGTTATGATCTTGTCACATGCCCTTAACACTCATCTGCTGAAACTTATCACTGTATTTGGGTCAGTTATCCAGTGATGTCACTTGAATGATACAGGCTTCAAGTTGATACTCTACACATAAGTGAACTCATTAAATAACAAACTGTGAAGACTGGGTCATTCACTGGGAAGCCAGTGAGCAAGGCAAGAGCTGAGCTGGAGAGTCTACTGCCAGGAGTGGAGTCTAGGAAGCCACCAGATCAGTACCAAAGGCTGGAGTTAGAGAGTAAGAACCAGATGGTGTCTGGAACCCTTGGGTCAGAAAAATCATATGAGACTCATGTAGAAAGACAAACAAAACTATGGCCTATTTATTCACACGTTTCTATTCTCCAGTGGAAAAAGGTGTGGTAATAATAAGTATAATTGTATAAACAAATTTAGGGATGAGTATGTATACATCTGCTGTAGTAACCATGTTAAACCATAACATATATAAATGCAGCTGAAAGTCTAGTTAGTGGAAAAGCCTAAGTCAAAAGTGCTATTGATAAAAAGTGTTCATTACAACACACACTGTAGGGTTAACCCAACAACTACAGCAAATTCAATTTATCATGTACCTAAAGACTTATTTTTCATTGAGAGCAAAAATAGCAGCAATTAAAAAACATGGCCAATTTAAAACAACATGGATGATGTGCTGGACACAAAACATTCCTCCAAATCATAGGAATTTTAAATACAACTTATTAGTGGGTGTGCACAGTAGAGCTCTGCAGATTGACAAGTGTTTTGTGGGAGAGACTTCTTAGAAAAATCTGTGTCTTCAGGAAACTATGGCCATGAGCTAATTTTAGATTATGAATACCAAATTTTAGCAACTCAAATTCATTCAGTAGGTAACTGCTAGTCAACAGCTTACATAAAAATAAAATGGTGTGAAATTGTGAGTCATTTATCATTCCACTGTACAGACCATGAAAAGGACCCACATTTGGGGAAGTTTGGGATTCACCAAGAGGAGTCTGCTGCATAATTGAGAACTCCTGGATATTCTGTGGGGCCGAGGCTAGAGTGGCTGTTGAACTAGAGGACTTGGGCTGATGGCATAACCTGCTGTGTGTGATCAACTGGGTTTTCAGGGCTCCTCCCCACTCTCTGTTAAATAATTCATTGTTATCCTGTGGTGTGGGCCTGGGAATCCCAGTGTGGTCTGGCTGCTCCATAATGCTGTCCTTGTCTCCCTCTTAGGAGAGATAAATGATATTTCCAGCACACCATTCCTGAATTAGAGCTTTCTCAGAGGTACCAATTCTGTAAATAGAGTGTGATGATGTAGGAAATGTTAAGAGATAAGAGTCAAATTTTTGGCAGCTATATATGATGTGTACATGAGAAAAAATTTGCTTTTAGGCCAACTTCTATGTGTAATATTTTAAAATTTTAAGCATGATAGCTCCAACAGAATTTATGGGCTCAAACCTGGGAGGTATCAATTCTTCAAGGATGGTGGATGTGGTTATCAATAAAAAATGCCAAGAATTTTTGAACAAAAATATGTGAGGTTTTTGAAGGTCACTTTCTAAGCATTTACTTGAAGGATTAAAAATCCTGAGCAAATTTAGCAACGATAAATGTGGACAATGGCTTATTTTAGCTAAGCCAGGGAATGTTGTCCCTCTGCCTCTTGTGTAAAACTTAATATTTAAGTCAGGTAATATATTTTTACATGTTGAAAAATGTATTTTCTTACTTATATGCAAAAACACTTCACAAGTCCCTAAAGAGACAAAAGCTCTAATTATAGGAAATGATAAAATAGTTTACAGTATATCCTAATACCTGTATGTGGTATACTTCCTATCATGTAGTCAAAAGAAACAGAGATTATAAATACGTATCAGAAATCCTAGGGTAATTTTCACATCTACATAAATAACAAAGGCTATAAGCAAAATAAACTGCATTGCTAGAAGTTCATATTCTCCTAACTAAAGTTTATAATTTCCTGCAAAAGAAATGTACCAGTTGCTTCAGGATGTGGGTAAGAGAAGCCTGTTCCTGTGGTAATGATTTCCCAAACAAGAAAAAAAGTTACAAGGGCAAATTTTTGCTGAACTGCAGACACACATGTCTCCTGATTTATGAAAGCAATAAGAATACATAGAGCTGTTTAATAAATAACTTAGAAACAGAGATTGTGTGAACCAGCAAAATCTGTCAAATAAAATGGCTTAATTTACAATAGGAAGAAATACTTCCACATATTTTGCTATTGCCTAAAGCATTTTATTATGTAGCATTATATTTAGGTTGATGTGCTAGACATAGTATATTCTACAACTATACAAAATAAATATGCACATATATCCTTTAAGGTTCCAATCAATCCTTAAATAATAATCCTTTTAGTAATACAAATGTAGATTTGCCCAATTAAAATATGGTGTACATTCAGTTTCTCTTAACTGATCATAATCTCTTATAATAAAGAAAAAGGAATTTTCTTTCTTTACTTCTTTATCAGAAGCTTATTTTATATATTAGTGTTATTTTACACTTTGACCTATTCATTATCATTTAGCCATTCTCTCAATAAATGTTTATTGAGTATTTGCTAAATATCAGCAAATGAATGGGTTGAGTCATCTTTCCTTCTCTTTTTCATGTGGAAATTACCACCCTTCTGGAACTCATTCAGTATTACTTAAAATAATAAAAAGATTCATTCTTCTATGGGTTGCTGTTGATTTACCCAGAACTCTTATCCAATAGCTACTAATTTTACATCTTTCCTCCTAAAGATAAAGATGAAGTGGGGTGGGGAGGTCAGGGTGGTGAGGAAAGAAATTAATATGTATTATTTGCACCCAACATGCAGTGCACTTGGCTAAGTGTTTAACACTATTTTAAAAGTTTCCCAAGAACAAAATAAAGTAGATATGTTATTATCCCCATTTCATAAATTGGGAACCAAGTCTCTTAGCACTAAAGGGACTGGCCATCTGAGATCTCACAAGTGGCAGTTGGAAGTGCCAATAATGGGACCTTCGTCTGTCTAACCTCAAAGGCTTTACATCCCTCTTCTAAGAGGCACCACTGGCAACTGATAATTACTTTTTAAATATTTGAATGAAATTTTGCTTGACCTAGGATACTCATAAAGCTCAGACCTACTCCTCTTGCATTTGCCTCCAAAAGTAATATACTATTTAGAAAAATTATTTAAGAAAAACCTTTTAACAGGTTTTTGAAGCAAAGGTAGACAGCTTGCTTATACAAGGAACAATGCTAATGAATAAATTAAAACATTTTAAAAATTTTGAAATCCATCTGCCCTGACAATGTATTATGCTTGATTTTTTTCAGAGCACTCTTCCAATATTCCTAGGAGCAAAAGATAATAGATTGTGAATAGGTTAGGCATTTATAATTTATTACTATGAATACAAATTAAACCAAGGGAAAATGCAAACATAAAATGCCCATTTTTATTAATAGGGAAGAAATGAAATAATATCACAAAATTAAGGTTAAAGAAACACCATTTATTATGTTGCATTCTAATTATTCCATATCAGTGTGTACCTTATATTCTTGATAATCATTGTTATCTAGCAAGTCCCTTTTCTCCAGTTCTGTAAGTTGTTCTGCAGAGGGCTTAGCTGGTAGATGCTTAATGGAGGCTTGGCTGTATATGGGCTTTCCATTAAAAAACAGTTCCTTCCAATCATGCATCAATTTATATGGAATCAGACTATAGCAAAAAAGAAAAAAAAAGGTAAAATGAACCAATGGCTAGTCAAATATATACCCTAAACCTTAGGCTTTCTATTGTCGTAGTCATTCTCCATGGTTTGCTGTTTGCAGACAGGGATTCCAGTTGCTATTATATAGATAATGGCTAGTAAAATGTCTGGGACTTAGTAGGTTTGAATGAATGAATGTTACTTAAAGCCACAGGTTCTTCAAACTTTCTTACAGACTGTGCACCTACAGAAAAGCACATCTTAAAATAATGAGTGCTATCATAAAACACAGGTTCTTTAATTCTCAGCTATGATATTAAATGGCTGTGTTACCTTAGGAAATCATTTAAATGCTCTAGTATCAGTGTCCTCCTATGCAAAATGAACAAGCTGAATACTTCCCAAGGCCCCTTTAGGATGAAAGGTGGTTTACACACTTACAAATAATTTGTAATGGAAAAATCTACTGTCTTATTGTCATTGCACATTTGGTAGCCTTTAAAATTATTTTCCAGTAATTATTTCTATTTAAGTCTGATGAATGATTAGGAAGTAATCAGGACACAGTGACAGAAACTAGTTCAAGGGGGAACAAAATGTGCAAAGTAAGAAAAAAGCCTGACATGATTCACATGCATTTTCTAAAAATAGTTGAACTAGAGTTTGAAGTTACAACTTGATAAGTAGTATTTCATTTCTTCCATTCTGACACATGTGGATGAATCTTGAAGACATTATGAGAAAAGAAATAAGGGGAGCAGAAAAGGACACATATTGTCTGATTCCACTTATAAGAGATACTTAAAATAGTCAAATACATAGAGACAGAAAGTAGAATAGAGGTTACCAGGGGCTGGGTTATTATTTAATGGGTACGGCATTTCAGTTTGGGATAATAAAGAAATTCTGAAGATGGATGGTGATCACAGATGCACCACAATGAGAATGTATTTAATGCTACTGAATTGTACACTTAAAAACAGTTAAAAGGGTAAGTTTTATGAGTGCTTTGTCACAATATAAAAGTCTTTCAATTAAATGTACAACTTCAAATATAATCATATTATGTTTTCTATTAATAAAATATTTATAGTTGCCAAAGTTTACTTTATGAAGATATGGAAGTCAATAAATTATAAGCTCAGACATAGACATAGAAATATTGTAATATCAGAATTATTAGAATGGGATTGGCTTCTATTGGAAGTAAGTGATTAACAACCTATTGTCCAAAACTTAATCTTGCAGTTATTGAATTAATATCCTTTTATCTGAATATTAATACTTTAAAGAAGCAGTATTAACAAAAGTAAGTTCCTTTAAGTAGGGTAATACCAAAAATATATCTGTGCTTTAAAAAAAACCAACAACCTGATAACATCTTTTTTACGTAGGGAGACTAAGATGAGTTTATCTTGACTTCATAGTGTAGACTACTAAGCTACTACTGCTACTACAGCCACTGTGGAAGATAGCAAGCCCTCAAAAAACTAAAAATAGAACTATCATATGATCCAGCAATTCCACTTCTAGGTATTTACCTGAAGAAAATGGAAACAGTAACTTGAGAGATATATGCACCCCTATGTTCCCTGTAGCATTGTTTACAGTAGCCAAGATATGTAAACAACCTAAGTGCCCATCAAAGGATGAATGGATAAAGAAAATGTGGTGTGTATATATATATAATGGGATATTATTCAGCCATGAAAAAGAATGAAATTTCACCATTTGTGACAATATAGATGTACCCTGAGGGCATTGTACAACTGAAGTAAGTCAGACAAGGGCAAATGCCATATGATCTCACTTATATGTGGAATCTGTTCAAAAACAAAAAAAAAAACCTGAACCCATAGAAAGAACAGATGGGTGGTTGCTGGAGATTGGGGGTACTTAAAAGTACTTAAAATTAATACTTAACAGTATTAATATTCAGATAAAAGAATATTAATTAAAAATATTTTGCATATTTTCATTTAAAATAAAAGTTTCATAGAGCCATATATTCTCCATTTAATTTTCATGAAGCAGGATTTGTAGAGTAATAAAAGGCAGATGAGTATATACCACAAACTATCACAACAATCTAAATACATATAGGAAGTCCTCACTTTACTAATAAGTTATGCTCTGTAAATTGACTTTTAAGTTGCCTACTTGACATAGAAATAATACTTATATGGGCTGCAAAGAAGGATCTAAGTTGCCTCTAGGATAGGTGGAATATGTGAGACAAAAGAAAACACAGGAAGTTCACCACTGTGTTGTTCCTCAGGTCCTGAGGCCACTAGCTAGTCTCACTTCTTCTCCCTACCCTTCTGAGTCTAGTCTTTGTTTCATATAGAACATTCAAGTTATTTTGTTGTACTTAGTATGGAGGAATTGGGAAAAGGGCATATACTCCATTTTCCCAGAGCAGAATGGGATTTGCATTATGTCTTAGTTTTAAATTACAAAACTTTATTTGTTTAGGGAAACCAATCTACTCTCTTCTATATTTTATATCCCCTTTGAATTATTTTATATTTTTATATTTAAATCTCCCACTTTTACCCTTCTGTAATTTAACCTATTTTTTGAATTTATAATACCATGTATCACCTTTCCTTTTAACCCTTTTATAGTTTAGCTTCCTAATTTTGTTCTTACAATTTCTGAATTTTTGAATTTATATTAATCTGAAAACTACTTTTTAAATGTTTACTCCTGAATTCCTTTCAATTTTCAGTGTTATTTTCTTTTTCTCAATCTTCTACCTTATTAGTTTCATCTTCAAATGGTCCTCACCATTTATGTTATTTCATTTAGTGGTTTTTATATAGCAGTGAGTCAGAACCATGGCTGCAGGAATGAGAGCTGTGGAGTATACATAAGGTGATCGAATGCTTTCCCCCTCTGCTCTCTGACTCTGCAGGTCATCTGGCTTTCATTCTTTTCACTATAATTTCTCAAGAAGATTTCAGTCTGGGTAATTTGAGAGGTACACAAATTTAACTGGCTTGCCTTATCCTTGTCTTGTGGAATTACTTTCCCTGAACTCTACTGTGGTGTCATTCCCTTCAGCTTTCAGCAAGGGACATCATAAGAAATAGGTCTATGAAACCAGATGCCATGTTTGCTTAGAAGATGTTGCTGAAGACATTCTTCCCTAGATCCATTATACTGCTCAGTGTAGCTTAGGTGAGGCCACAGGAGAAAATTACTATTCTAAGCTGAATAACAAGAAAAGTTTTCATTCTGTAAAGAACTAGAGTGGAAAATGGAAATCATGTAACAGATTATATTTCCCTGTTTGCTTTGGCCACCAGGAAGCCCAAACAAAATCTGCAGCTCAGTCAAATCTGCTGCTGGCAAATCTGCTGCTGCCTGTATAACTGTGTTCCAGTTTATCCCTCATTCCTAACTTTCTACTTTAATTTGGATTTTCCTTTGCTCTTCTTATGGAATGTTCTTAATATTTTTTGTATTGTTGAATATTTCTTTATAAATAAGTTGATTCCTTTTATAAACAAGGTCTAATGAAATGAATAGACTTAATGACTAGTAAAATAATCTTTAATTTAATTCCAATCTTCTAGGAAGTTCCAAGAATTTCAAATAAATTATCACAGTTGTCTTTTTTAATTATAGAGAATTTAGATATAGGGTTTAAATGTTAAAAGACATATAAGTACACTTTAAATAAGGCTAGTGAGTGGTTGAATTAAGCAGTAATTAAGGTATCTTGGAACTTCTTAGTATTCTTATCATGGAGCATTTTTGTGTCTCTTTATAGTGGCTGTTGAACTAGAGGACTTGGGCTGATGGCATAACCTGCTGTGTGTGATCAACTGGGTTTTCAGGGCTCCTCCCCACTCTCTGTTAAATAATTCATTGTTATCCTGTGGTGTGGGCCTGGGAATCCCAGTGTGGTCTGGCTGCTCCATAATGCTGTCCTTGTCTCCCTCTTAGGAGAGATAAATGATATTTCCAGCACACCATTCCTGAATTAGAGCTTTCTCAGAGGTACCAATTCTGTAAATAGAGTGTGATGATGTAGGAAATGTTAAGAGATAAGAGTCAAATTTTTGGCAGCTATATATGATGTGTACATGAGAAAAAATTTGCTTTTAGGCCAACTTCTATGTGTAATATTTTAAAATTTTAAGCATGATAGCTCCAACAGAATTTATGGGCTCAAACCTGGGAGGTATCAATTCTTCAAGGATGGTGGATGTGGTTATCAATAAAAAATGCCAAGAATTTTTGAACAAAAATATGTGAGGTTTTTGAAGGTCACTTTCTAAGCATTTACTTGAAGGATTAAAAATCCTGAGCAAATTTAGCAACGATAAATGTGGACAATGGCTTATTTTAGCTAAGCCAGGGAATGTTGTCCCTCTGCCTCTTGTGTAAAACTTAATATTTAAGTCAGGTAATATATTTTTACATGTTGAAAAATGTATTTTCTTACTTATATGCAAAAACACTTCACAAGTCCCTAAAGAGACAAAAGCTCTAATTATAGGAAATGATAAAATAGTTTACAGTATATCCTAATACCTGTATGTGGTATACTTCCTATCATGTAGTCAAAAGAAACAGAGATTATAAATACGTATCAGAAATCCTAGGGTAATTTTCACATCTACATAAATAACAAAGGCTATAAGCAAAATAAACTGCATTGCTAGAAGTTCATATTCTCCTAACTAAAGTTTATAATTTCCTGCAAAAGAAATGTACCAGTTGCTTCAGGATGTGGGTAAGAGAAGCCTGTTCCTGTGGTAATGATTTCCCAAACAAGAAAAAAAGTTACAAGGGCAAATTTTTGCTGAACTGCAGACGCACATGTCTCCTGATTTATGAAAGCAGTAAGAATACATAGAGCTGTTTAATAAATAACTTAGAAACAGAGATTGTGTGAACCAGCAAAATCTGTCAAATAAAATGGCTTAATTTACAATAGGAAGAAATACTTCCACATATTTTGCTATTGCCTAAAGCATTTTATTATGTAGCATTA